CCCCCCCCCCCCCCCCCCCCACAAAAAAAAAACAACAATTTAATTAAATAATACTGAATAATTAATTTAATATTTTATTGTCTTCAATCATATTTTTGATCTTTGCAAAAAACAAAACTAAAACTGTTCCTGCAATAGAACTATGCACACATATATCCCATCACCACATAATAAATTAACTTTAAATATAACAAAATAACAAAAAAAAAATAGAATTTTTTTTTTTGCTCAACTTTATTAATTGCCTAATCTGATCAAGTTGATAGCCCAACTGATTATTCAGCATAGATAAAACTTGGTATCATAGAACTGTGAGCAATTTAAGACATCAGTATCCAACAGGCTGAATGGAGTGGTCAATGGGTGATATCAGAAGTAAATATTTGTTGTCATTGTTGTTGCCGTTATATTAACTTTGTTAACACCAAATTTATCTTAACCTCCTTCTGTTTTTGCCCTATTTTTTCCATGTTATTTACTTCCTTTTTTTCTTCTTTTTTTGCCTCATTCAGAACACTTTGTTGTTGACTAATATTTACCAGAAAAAAAGAAAAGAAGAAAAAATTATAAAAAAATTTCGCATCAGTTTATTTCCGTGAAAAAATGATCAAATAAAAGAAGATAAAATTAAGTTATACAAATTTTTTTTGTTCCTTTTTCTTGCCTATTTTTACTTTTTTTCTTAACTTCATTCCTGTTCAATTTTTTTTTTTCTCAAATATATTTCTTCTGTTTCTTTCCTTCAAAAAGATTTTTTTTTTTTTGAGGGGGCAATTTTTAGCAAATATTGCACAAATTTTACTTCCTCTTCTACTGATTAGACTAAACAAAAAAAAAAAGAAAGAAAATTAGCAACAGTCAGAACAGATAGTTTGTCTACAATTTAACAGCCAAAATTCTCCTCACTTCTTTCTTCTGCACCCATTATCCCCATTCTTTTACGTCGTTCTTATCCATGCGATAATTCTTCTGATCAACCAGTCGTTTCACTAAGAAAGGTTTCTAAGAAATGTAAAAAGAAAAGGTTTTCCGGTGCTATATTTAGTCTCCAATGTTTCGTTTGTTTGTTTTTTTTTTCCTCTCGTGATTAATATTGTTCCTTAAAACATCTGAAATCAAATGTACATTTTACAGAATTGAATGCTTCAATTGCACTTTTTCTTTTCAAGTTCCAGCCGTTTTCTCCTTTTTTTTCCCCTTTTTGTTAATCTTAAACCCTTTTAAAACACCTGTCACAGCAGACAAATGATAACTAAAAACACACTCTACTTCAATATTGAAAACGAAAAAAAAAAAAAACTCATGAGCAGTTAGAGTTCTACTATCGATAATGAATTCATAGGTTAGCCTAATAGAACCGGTGCTAATATTGCTGATAATAAACAGTAATAAAAAAAAAAAATAAATTTAAAAAAAAATTTAAAATTAATTTTTAACTTCTTTATGGTTTTGGTTTTTTTTTTATTCTTTTCGAATGTCGCAAAAGAAAGGCTTCGATGAACAACGAAAATGATGCTAAAGTGTTGATAAATAAGATTTACTTTAACTAATCAAACTGACAAAGTGTCGTCATTTCTATTGATGGATGGTAAATTTGAATTTATGAAAAAAAAAAAAAAATAATTGACGTTAAATTTTTTTAACATAAATCTGTTGTCATCATAATAGATTTTTTTTTCCGTATAGACAACTTATGTTATTGCCAAAGCAGTAAAAGCTGCATATTTACTGAAAATTTCATCGACAAAAAGTCTGCACTTAAAAGATGCGTATACAAATATTAATAAACACACTTTTTTTTTTCCGCAGAATATTCACATAG